GTGTAAGCCGAGAAGCGCCACCGCCAGGAAGATTAACTAATTAACACATCAAACAATCGACGTGTTATCAAATTAGTGACGTCATCTGCAGCCATTTTTGGCGCGCACACCGCGGCCAGTGACGCCCCCGTATCGATTGAAGCTCTTAGTAAATTAGTGATGTGTGCAAACATCGAGCACTCGATGAAATTAGATTGACATCTGTCATTAACCTTCGTTATTTGATTATTTCCAGTAGGTATGTGTTAGCACGATGTAGTAAGTCTGTTATCGGGACACAAATATTGCTTGTCATTATATATTACTATGCTAAATCTGTATTTACGTTGTTTTGCCAACTTTCCAAGTATTCACACATTTTCCCTATCGTCTTAACTCGGTTTGACGGCCCCTATAAAGAAAATCTAAGAAATCATTTCGATTAATGATGCGTAAAATGCGTCGGCTATTTTTTACAATTCTCCTGATCATTAAAGAACATTAAATCAGAAAACAATTGGCGTTATTTATTGATGATTATCGTATGCGAATGGATATGGACATATATGGAGACCACCACCTGCTTCTGCAGTTGCGAAATGGATTCGTTCTTCAATAATGCGAGAAGCACCGACAATCGATAACGTCTCAAATAATACTTAAGCCTAATCTATCCTCTAGGAACGGTGACCAAAGACCAACAGTTATTCAGAAATTATTGGGATCTCGGACCCAGTTAAGGTTTTCTATAAAATTTTCCTGACTTTCAGTCGAACTACCTTTGTACTGACCAGAACAATATTCTTCGCATCATACTCGACTAGACATCAGAATGGCAGAAGGAGATTAACACGTGGAAAAGAAGGATGCTCTTCATACGAATCGAAAGTTTTCGCTCGTGCAAGAAACGCGTCTTTTCTAGAAGAACGTAGAGTCCAAACACAATGCATTCCACTGTCAACAAATTCTGGATACAGTGAGTAGTGGATAAAAAACATTGTGGTGCCCCGAAGGTGGGTTCAAAACCTGGCAAGTACCAATGTGACTTTTCCGATTCATGTGCACTTACTTTCTAAGTTCATTTACAAATCACGGACATACGCTGAAGGAAAACAGCGTAAGGAGACTTGAACTTTTTAACTATAAGTTTTAAATCGCCAATCCGATTTGAGCAATCACGGTGATGAAGCTCCAACCTTCTCCGTGTGAGAAGAGGCCTTTGCTCGTCTGTGGGCACTTGTAGTCTGACGATGAATAATGAATAAAACACCTCTGCGCAATGAGACCTGTTTGGCAATCACAGAAACAGACCCGAAGAAATTAGATTTACAATCTTCGAGTCCAATGTTGAACCCACATGTGGGGGCAATCTGGCAGGTCAACAAAAACATTTTATACAAAATCGAAGCCATCATTAATCGTTGCAGACGTCGCATTGTTGGTGTTAACTGGCTGAGATCATGTCCAAAATTACCCTGTTGAAGAAGTCAACTTTGAATCAACTTCTACAATCCTTGACCATGAACGCCCTTTGCCCCAAAAAGTAACGATGCAAGACAATAAGTCTAGTAAGTCATCATTTGTGAAACTGCGATCTTAATTGCACACTGCCACCGTAAATGTACAACAAACTCATAAAATTACGAAACGCGCAAACAACAATAAATAATTATCTTGTAGGAAAATGATACAAAGCAAGTCGCGTTCAATCGATTTAATTAATGAATCGTAAAATTTTCAACATGACGCTATAAGACGTTATGATTTACGCGGCATTGTCAGATCAACGCATGTTGTGCGTCAATAAACAACTGCTTCTCAGTAACACGAAGAATTGAAAATGAAAAAGCTTTATTTTTGTGTATTAGACGCGAGTTTCCGAATTTAAAATTAGTTTTTGTATCCTCGTTTTCTGAAATAATGCCATTGATCTGATACATTTGTCTGTGAATAATTGAGTCTACAGGAACGTTAGACAGTTAAATGGTCGTAAATATTATCAAATTAGTAGGTAAATGGGTAACACTTAATAAATCTCATGTGACAGTACTTCGAATAAAGAAAACAGAAATAAAGCTGCAGAACTTTAATCTGACGTTTATGAACGACGGAAAACAATAACTGTTTAAGAGAGTTGTAAAACTTTCAGTTAACAACACGCACAAAGCGAGACACTACATATTAACGAACTTGTAATAGGTCCAGCCTATTTTGACATTTCCTAGTGGAGCCACTTGTTTCGTGTTCCCTGCTCAAGTTACTAGTAAGCCGAAATTATAAGTTAGTTCTGCAACCCGCCGTAGGTCTAGTTATAGTGGGCGTTCTATATAACCTAGTCTCATTATGAAATCCAAATAGTTCCCCACACGAGTGGTTGGACGGCGGGCGCCAGCAACGCACGTAAATGGTTGCAAACGTTATTATGTCTGTAGGCTAAAATAAGAATGTGATCATTACCAGCCGGATCTGTTCGAGCCGAGCATTCGGTTGTCTTTACCGATGTTGTTACAATCATTATTAATATTTTCTCGTTCTTCTATCGGCTATAAAGGAGCTAGGGAACTAATTTATATTTAACATTGAAGTTAAAAGTCTGGATAATATTTTTCTCTGTGGGATAGAGAGGTTTGACAAGGTATTAGGTGTAAAGATACTGCCTTTCCGTAAGGAAAGGAAAAAAGTAGTGCCCACAGCTTCGGATGCAGAATGTGCCTACCCATATCTCGATATTTAAAATATTGTCAATTGGACATACTGCAAAGAGAGAAAACAAAAACAGAACCTTCACAACATATCTTTCATTCTCATACACGCTAAAGTCTAGGCCAACATAACATTAATTATTTCAACTACACTTAACTAAATTCCAAATGTATTCTCTTCCTCATTATACATATATACGCCTCTAATCTATATCATTTAAATCAACCCTATTCTTAACCAGATCAGGTTAAATTACCCTCTCTTACTACGATCACAACACTATTTAAAACCTCATTACTCTTCATCTCAATGCGCTAATGAATTGATTAACGAAACCCGTATGATCGGTTCTCTCTCAGAACATTGTCTTAATAAGGATGAGAAGTCATCAGCTAGCCCCCACTTAACAGGGCAGCGGTCATTACCGACCATATTAATAATTATAGCTGTTTGTATTCACATCGGTACTGAGGGACGATGGGTGACCATTGCAACGTAAACAAAAGAAGCCTTGTGTTCGCTAGCGAAATGACATGGTCTTAGATGATCTGTTAATACTGTGAAAATTATTCTGATTCGATAGCTACTAAGGACTTGGAGAAGCTTTGATTAATTAGATACCACGATCCCAATTAAATGTATTATATACCTAAGTACAAAAATATGTACACAATAAACAATTTGAGATAAGTATATTTCAAATCCCAACTGCTGGTAAAAGGTTGCAAAAATGTAGTGTGTACCAATTAAAACATGTTTCCAAACTGCGACTGTATTTGGCGCCTTGGATTGGCGGGCAATAAAAATTCAAAATCATAAAAAGAACGTAGCCATGTTTATTTTATCAGCTGCCAGTAGCTTTTCCCAATGAGGTTGAGAAAAAAAGTATTAATAAAACTTATAACGAATCAAGTATATTAAAGTATAATAGGTAAGTGGAAACTTGGAAAATAATTGCAATGGAAAATACGTGTTAGTATTGTAACGGAACTGCTTTCAAATGATATTATTTTAATGGTGTCAGTGGGCAGGCGTGCGTTTGCAATACGAGTTATGAGAATTTATACTTTCCATACACAAGTGATTCGTATCGTCATGTAAATCCATGTTAATGCCCGCACCCGGCGCCGCGTGACGTCGCGCCTAGTTTTTTTAGTTCTCAAAGAAAAATACAAGGAAATGGCGTGATATTGACGAACGAAAGAACATATCTGTATGTGTTAATTTATTAAATCGGAAGACTTTCAGTAATCCTTTATAGTGGGAAATTGAATAGATCTTAAGAGCTAACTCATGTAAAGATCTACCTACATTATTTTTTTCAACAGCCACTAACATATTTATCAACGTGCTACCTTGAGAATCTTTAGAACTCCTGCGATTTGCGAAAAGTATTTTTATATTATCGCACGTTTACGTCATTGCTGATCGATTGACTGGAAGCTTGATGCTCAAATTTATATGTTTACATAACAAGGACCATAAATATTTTTTGCGAATGATTCAATGTGGTAGCCTAAACGTATAAATAACGGACCTCCCGCAACGAATGATTGGCATAACAATATTTTATTATATTTATGAACGTAATGAGGGCGAATAAAATCTGGGAGGGCATAGCGATGGAGTGAGATCAACTTGTTTGGCTCGAAATACCTCCGAGCTCCGTACTCCGCTAGCCTTCCGTTACATTACGTATCACTAACTGGAACTAATCTATTTATATTTATACAAATATTCTACAGCTTATCCCGTTAGCGAAGCATTTACATCGATTTACCGAACTTTGCTCCTAAAAATTTGTGACCGTTCTAGTTTTTGGCGGGAAACATTCAAACATTCAGAACCGTGCATGCTAAACACGGTTCATTTATCTGACTAAGCGATTGTTTTCGCTTTGCCAATGCTGCGACTTCATTCGTAGTTCATTGTGATGAAGATAATTTTCCTCATTGCCTTCTTTCCCTGAATTTTCTCCCATGTTAGTTACCATTTGAGCTCTAGTAGGGAGCAGTGCGCGTTGATGATCTTTCGATAAAGTACTGATAGCCAGCGAGAAACTTCATGATGATGAAGCACAAATTTTATTATCTGCTATTAATATAACGAGCTGGTTCTCTTGCGAAATTACCTAGAGAGAAACTTTTGATGACAAAAAGTTATAATTTAATTTACATAATATTAAAACTAATGACACCGATCTCCTTGACAGTTCCTTAAAAAGCTTTACTAGCTTTGTGTCAGTAATATTATGACTAACAACACGTGCTCGATTCGTAAAAACTGTGTAATTTAATCTTTGTTTTATTTTGTTACAGATTATATTCAGTGGTCCTTGTGCAACTACGCCATGGCTGGAAAGAACTTTTGACAGCGCCATGTCCAGATTAAAAAGTATAATATGTCAAAGAAAAATTCAAAATTAAAGTTGTATTAAATAGTGAAGTGAAAGTGAAGTGCCTAACAATGGCCGATTTATCGTTCGATATTTATGAAAACATTACAAATATGGACCAAAACATTACGCATTATCCGCTCGAGGCCACGGTGCTGGCTGCAGCGTGTGCCTGCATATTTAGTGTCGTCGGAGTCGTCGGTAAGTTGCCTCAGACTGTCTGTTGTTTATCGATTATATTGTGTTTACAGCAACCGATTTTATAGGCCGTTCTATGCACGCTCGTTGTCCGATGCCCGATGCAAGTATTCGAGGAAAGCGTTGAAACACTGTTTGTTTACAGCGACGCAGCGCTGTACAAACAATGTGTCATATCCTAATAAACTACATTTCAAAGTTCTATACACCACTGATATTTCATCAACTTGTTTTCAAAACACTTGGAAGTGATGTTAGTGTTAAATGGATTTCCAGATATACATAAAGAATTATGACGGGCATTCTCGCGATGACTTGCTTTAAAACAAATGTTAGAGAAAAAAAATTGTGAAACTTTTGCTTGCACAGATGTATCATTGCATTGTTTCAAAAATGACCGACGGTCTTAAATCAAAGATCGTCTTATAAGCAATACGTACGTACTTAGAAGATGTGTAAACAATTTCCGTAATAGAAATTGAACCTTTTAAGTTCAAACCGTAAATTAGATCACGACAGCATAAAGTCCCTGTGCTAACGGATAAGGATTTTAAACTTTAACAACAAAGGTTTAAGTTTATATTTGGACGTGGTTTTTAAAACATGCATTTGTTTACTGCTCGGTGTACTTACTATCACTAGAAAGCGTTCAATAATCGGTCACTTAACACGAACGCAACATAAAACGCTAAGTGCCGGTCGTAATCGGACATCAAACGGTTTGTTACACGACTCGATACGATACCTACCCGGGAACGATGCGCACTCGGATGCCCAGCTGCGTAAACAAACAAGGTGCACATCACTAGCCTATTCCATGTTTGAATTAATATTTTTTTAATACACCTACTCGAGGATATGTTTTTACAATATCCCAATATAACTTTTTATTTTAAACATATTTTAAAATATCCGATGCTAGTTAATTGTAGTTAGGAACAAGGTGCTTTCATAGTTCACGCTAAATTGAGCAGGCGCAATAGGTAGCTAACGCAATCGTGGTGCGTGCGCGTATATAAAATTTTATTACAGTGTTATGACTACTTTAAAGAAGTAGCATTTATATTTTTTTTAGTTGTGAGTAAACATAGGCATACATTTCGGTCGTATTTTTGCTCTATGCCAGCAATACTCGCGTTGCCGCGTTATTTAAATGATTTGAAACCAACCTTCTTTGAGTTGTCTCTGTATTACGAACACTGCCGTCAAATCCAATTCCTCGTCTTATTTAGTCATAAAATGGTAATAAACGTAGCTACAACACAAGGGCTGTTGCCCTTACAGAACTCGTGGAATGAATGGGCCATTCACGGCCAGGACGTGACTAACACCAGAAACGCATCGCTGAATGTGTAGCTGGAATTAATTAATTTATTTTATTTATCACACTTTGGATGTCATTTGTCAAATAAGTCGGATGAATCGGACTGTGAATGAGAATCTTTATGTGTCGTTTTTGTTTAAAAACAAATGAAGGATGAGAACTTTAAAAAGATTTTTTTATATTATTTTTAGTAGGTGATGATTCTAATGATAAACCTTGTGTTACACATTCAATAGTTTGATGTTGATGTTCGATGCTTTAATCAAATCAAGGAAAATTTCAATATCCTCGCCTGAAATATAGACACAGAGGGAAACAATATTTCGGAAATAGAATTCTATTTAAGTAAATATTAGGTACCTACTTGTATTAAATCATAAAACATATTCTATCCCCTTTATTAACTACTTTGTAGCTTTCGTTGCTTCGCCCATGCGTTGAACATTATATGTATTTAAAAAAAACCTTTAGAAGATCTACAAACAGTTTTGCATTAATAGTATTATCTTTTCATTATGGCATAGGTAAACTAGAAGACGGATCACCTGATGCTGATGGTAAGCAATCGTGTAACACTTGCAACAGTTTACAAGAAGATCAAGTAGATACATATGTAAGTAATCCGTTTGTAAGTATTTGGCAAATAGAAGATGGGAGTAAGATTGGGCCTCTTTTAACCTAACTCCCGGGGTCGTGGTGGCCCGGAGGTTAAGGAGCCCGCATCTCATGCATGAGGGAGTGTTAAGTTGGCAAGTACCAATGTAACTTTTTCCGAGTTATATGTACTTTCTATGATTATTTAGACACCACTGACATACGGTGAAGGTAAACATCGCGAGGAAACCTGGACTTTAATTTCTAATTAAAAGTTTGAAATCACTAACCCGCATTGAGCAAGCGTGGTGGTTATGCTCAAACCTTCTCCGTGTGAGAAGAGGCCTTAGCTAAGTGGGCACTTATAGGCTGATATGAACGAAACTCAAAGAAATCTGTGTTCACACATCTCTATTAAAAAAAAAATTTCTTTAAGTATAAAAAGTAACAAACCTATTTACACAAAGCTATTGTAATCCTCCCTAAAAGCAAACAAGGAGTTTTATATCATCAAACTGTCTATCTATATAGTCTATGTACCATACATCAGTGTGTTGCTAGATGTAAAAAGCCATTTGTAACGAGGTTTATTAAGCGGTGGCAATTAGCCGCGCCGAGGGACATCCGCACACAATAACACCCCTATGTACCGACCTATAAATAGAATGCAATAAACAGACAGCCTCTGTTATTGGATTAGAAGCTGTTTGTAGGTATGTAGCTGATCAAGGGAGCTGGAAACTAGAAGCTTTAAGTTGGAATTGAACGTCATTACTGTCAACATTATTTATTTATTATTCATGTACTTTACACATACTTAACGTTCGATCTTAACTAGAAGATCCACTTGATATTATTAGTTTAAGAAGGGCCTTCTTTATTCCTTAATATATTGTATACTAGCTACTCTCGCGCGGTGTCACCCGCTGCTCAGCTCCATTTGGTTGTACCGTGATGTTTTATAGCCTATAGCACTCAGGAACATTGTAGCTATCTATCAGTGAAAGAATTTTGGAAATTCGACCAGCGCGAGCGGTTCCAAAGATTACCACCTACATACAAACTTACAAATTTTACCTCTTTATAATATTAGTATAGATCAGTACAAAGGTAATCCGCGTGCTCGTTTGCCGCCCTATCACATTATAAAAAAAAAAACGAAATTTGATTAAAATCGGTTCAGTAGTCTCCGGGTAGTTAGTTTCGAGTAGACTAGAAAGTTAGTGTAAAACTTGGCACCGCGTACTCGTTCAATTATTTTTTAGGCGTAAAATAGGTCTAAGTATTTACGTATCTGTTAGCAAAATATAGCTACTTACCAAGAAGAAATAAATATTCTAGACATTGTTATTAATAATTAATTATTACTGTAAGGTTATGCGTATTCTTGAAACACGTCACGTGACCGCAAGCCACAAATCACGTTACTGAAATTGTATAAGTTGTTAGTATTATTAAAATTATAATAATTAGTTCGTACTGAAATTATATAAGTATTATTAAAATTATAATAATTAAACAGCTAATTGTTGATAACGTTATTATGAGTAAACCACTTCATATGAAAAACTTAAATAATGAACCTTTTATTTTCAGTAGGGATAGTTAACTTTAGTTGCGATTATTAGAATGGTGGACAACCGTATTGCCACAACATATTTTTTGTGAGGGTTCAATCATCGAATGACTTCTCCTCCTTCCCGCCCAGGGTGGGACGCGAGAGAGTGTAAGACTCCTACTGACTAAAAACCCTCCTGTTCCTTCTCATACTTTAATCCGAGGCCGCGGAGACTTATTAATCGTACCTATTAATAACCAATCGTGGTTAAATAAAGAAACGATAATTAGATTGTAATAAATATTGTAAATGTATGAATTATTCATATTAAGAAAATCGATCGAAATAGAAAAAAAAATATATTAATAAGCCAATTTTTAATCATAACAATATAGCTACAAATTCTTGTGTTTTAGTAAAAATAAAATTCCTCTCTCCGTTACCCCGCCTATTAACCCACATCAAGGTTAAAATGCCAAATATCTATCACTGAATTTCATACAATTGATTTCCTTGAAATACTAACAAATACCTTTCTGTCCGTCACCCAAATATCTCTGTCGTCTTATTCTTGTTAATAGATCCTATATTCCTAATACAAAATTTACAATACCTATGTACCACAAAACACGACTTACAGAGAAATGGCCTGCCAATCATTCAAGTCCATTATCATTCCCGCCATTAACGTTTTTTCTTCTACCGTTATCACAAAATGGCAGATACGGGACATATAAATAAACCTGCCACCCGTAAGCTGATTAATTACGAAGATTTACGCCGACACTGCGCAGAGGGTAGGCAGATCAATCAAACTGTCTATCGCTGGACAGTTGACCGTCGACCTAGGGGACCACTGGGAAAACAAACATGTGGCGAGAACTATAGCGTGTAATAACGTGTTGTGCTGATAAATTAATGTTTGAAATTTAACAGACACTCGCAAATAAAGCTTCCTTAAAGTGACGCTTTTGAAATGAATTCTCAACTTTATTGTCTTTATTATCTTTATATATATAAATGGATCGCATAATGTGTTGGTAAGCGCATAACTCAATAACGCCTGGACCAATTTTGCTAATTCTTTTTTTGTTGTGTTTGTTATTGTCAGGAGAAGGTTCTTATCAAAGAAAATATTAGAAAAGTAGAAGAGAAGATTAGGAAAAGTGACACTTTGATAGCGAGATAGTTGGGCCCGTGCGAAGCGGGGGCAGGCCGCTAGTATGATGACAAAATTAAAAATCCTTTGAAACTTTTTTTGCAATTCGATGAATATCTTGCTTGCGTGGTTTTTGTTCTTGTATGCGAATATTGTTATTGGTTTCATAATAGGTATCTCGTGTGTGATGCACATTTAATAGAAATCTGCCGCACAGGAATGGATCATGCGTAACGCAATAAATCCACGATAAAAAAAATTATAAGTATAATTGAAATTTATTTACACTTTGCTAGTATTAATATTTACAGTATTAATTTACATTCAGTATTAATTTAAAATTGATTAACAGACCCAATGTTTATATACTTAGAGTCCGGAATAGTGTCTAATAAACCTTACTAGGCTTTACATGTATACCTAATAAAAATTGTGATATAGTCGATAAAGAAATTTGTAGATTAATCATATCCTTCCTAATTTCTCACTGTCGTAACATAACATAACTAAGAGATATTTTTGAATGAACGTACTTATACTACTTACCTACTCAGTACTTATCACAACACTGCATGTGTAGAATGAAATTATCGACACTGCAAATACTTATTTCGCATATCTCATTAGCTTAAAAGAAAAGCTAAAACAATTCACTGCTTATAAACTTTTTATTAGAATACTAATTACCCATCTAAGTACTAAGGTAACAGAGTGGAACAGTTACTGTAGATCCCCTGATCGATTTATATTGGTGCTGGCGTGGTCACGCAAGCTCATCATCCTAACAGGTCCGGTAGCAACGGAGCTTCGTGATGTGATGCACCAATTGTCTTCTGAAGAACAAATAAATGGCATACATTACTCAACCAACACGCGTCGTATCAGGAAGATTGTTTATTATCACTGAATGGTAATTTAAGATTAATAAATTGAAGTAACAACCAAAGTAAGATCAAGCTACAAAATAGACAGTCATTTAGGGACAATCCTACCTACTTGGAAGATTGAGATTAAACTAAAATCTGACTAAATAATAATCATACCTAACTAAACAAACAAATTCATGAAATTCGTCGTAAGTTTAGCAGTATTCAGTTTAGGTCTTTGTCCTGACCTAGTGGGCAATAACAGTCAAATACAATCACACAATATACAAAAATCCCCGAACAAAGCCTGTTCAAATATTTAGTCACAAGTATCAGCTGGTCTCTGTCAACAATAAGTGGCCCATTGACCGATTGGTCACAACTCAAGCGATTGACGGGCGCTTTATCAATACAAACACATTAACCACGTCATAATCCTTTTTACACAGAGGATTTATAATTAATGCTTTTATCCGTCATTGGCATTGTGTGAACAACTGGGCCTCAATCCCGATAATTTATAAACGTTTCGATGAAGTGTCTCTGGCCGACTTGATACATATTTGACAGCTCACGTCAACATGACGTTTGCATATTTTAGCGCCAAAATTTTAAAAAATTGCTTCCTTTTTACTTTACTTTGACTTTCGATCACAGTTGTGATTTCCCCGCAAAAATGTTAATTATGTTAGAATTGATGGCTCCAATTAAAAAATATTTTCATGAAATATAAAAAAATCAAGTCACGTTAAATACATGACTTTGTTTTTTTTTATATGTACAGGTCAATTAACGGCCATTTTCGATAAAAAGCGCGCCTACCATAAACCAACATGTAAAATGCTCTGACTGACATGTGCTAGTACCTACCTATGATAAAGAAAATTATCACAATTACATTATTCGGAGGCGGCGTTTAACATTTACGGCAATTAGGCTACAATGTTGTGTTAATAACATACGAACCAATCAGCATAATTTAGGTAGCGAGCAGAAATTGTCTAATTGACTTTACAAATCATGATTAGACGTCATAAAGGGTATTAACGACCTCACGAATTTTGAACCAAGGTATGAGAAGCCATGATACTTTACACGTTTGTACAATACCGCCAACGTATCTTGGCGAGTCTGAAGTTAGCCGATTAGCTGCGCAGTACAAAATTTTGTTCCTAAAAGATCCATTGCGCAGACAAACGGCTAACTTCAGACTCGCCAAGATACGTTGGCCGTACTGAGCAATACTTAACTGAGATACAGTTATTTACTTAGTAAATATTTTAATAAATAAATCGTAAACTACCCAGTTTTTAAGAACATGGTCATAATAATATCTTGATTCATCTTTATTCGTATTCACGTCTCATGAAACTTTGAGGTTATTCATAATTGCCTTAAATTCACAATAGGGCCACCATTTTCTTGTACGGTTCTTTATTGTGTTTGATTATGGATACTCTAAAATTGAAGACAAGAAATTGGATCAAATGTAAAGTTTATTGCGCACATTGCGCACATGTATTAAATAGGCGCAACAAATGTACATAAATATATATTATGCAAAACGTGCCCTAAATGTTTTTAAATAAGTAAATTATAATTATGAAAGTTACATATAGTGCGTAAAAGAAATTGATAGAGATTGAAGAGAAACTTTTTTATTATGACTTGTAAATATTAATAACGAACGAATTTACATAAAAATATAAAGTAGGCTAAGTACGTCCACATCTACATGGAAGATATAAAAGTTGTTTCATGTGTGCGTAACTGGTTATTATTATTGCACAGATAATAATTGCAAGTTGAAACGATTTAGAAAATATCGTAAAATTGCCTTTCTCATCTCTTTTAATGATTGTACACCAATCTTATTCAATGCAATGCGATGGTTAACCATGTCTAAGTTTTGTTTTTTTTTATTTATTAAGCTTTCTCATTTACGTTGAACCAAATAGCTGCGTAAATACAGTAGATTTAAATTTTAATTCCATGTCTTAGAAGTTAATAAAAAATACTATTTTTTATTATATTCCCATACCATAGGTTTGGTCCTTTTTTTATGTAATTGGTCGGCAAACGAGCAGACGGATTACCTGATGGTAAGCAATCAGCGCCGCCCATGGACACCCGCAACGGAGGATATACCTACGAGTGCGTTGCCGACCTTTTAGGGATTAGGGTTTTGGAGATTTAGAGATTGAGGAGGGATTGGGGGCGGGGAAGGATTGGGCCTCCGGTAGCCTCAAATCCTATCAAAATTTATATGTTTCTTTATTATTTATGCACATCACACATACAGTAAATAGGGAAACAGAAACAGAGTTATATAGGTACTGCATATTTCCATTTGAGGAATTCAAGTGTGGGAGAGCCAAGCTTCGGCACGAATGGGTCGGCTCAACCGGAGTGATACCACGGCCTCACAGAATACCGGCGTGAAAAAACCCACAGCGTTTTGTTTCGCCGTGTGAGTGAGGTTACCGGAAGCCCAATCCCTCCCCTTCCCCTATCCCTTCCCAATCCTTATTCCTATCGCACTCTTAACTCCTTGGTGCTGCGGGTGTCTGGGCGTGTGATCGTTTGAAGACTTATACCATTAAAAAGAATTGGAATTTCTTCGTGCAGTCCTTCGAAAGGAAAAATGTAAAAGTGTCATAGTGATGACCTGCCAGATAAATCAATAAGTTAATAAAAATAGACTTCCACTTATATTGTAATCCATCCAGGGCAATGACTTAAGTACGGTAAATTATTAATTGCAATAATAATGCGTCGAGCAACCGGACATGTTGATTAATGAGCATTACACGAGCTAATTAAGAAATTAATAGTGCTAACTGCGTGTTTGGTCATGGACCGGTATGAATCGAAAGTTATTCAATCATCCATGAATTAAGACATCCATCACATAGGTACACAATACTTAATTCAATTTACATATTTACCTAATTAGGTTACCTAAGTGTGAGCTCATTGCTTATTAAAATTTGTAACAAATCTTAGTGAAGTATTGTAAACTTTCTTGAGACTTCCTTCGGCTGCGCAGCGTCGAGAAGACGTCAAGTCTTCAAGACTCATAAATAAGCTCTGCTCATAAATAAGTCCTGTTTTTTTAAGGGTAGGTTATCAAATGACTTCTCTTGCCTGGATGAAGCGAGGCGGAGTGTCAGGACTCTTATTGACTGCGATAAATACAATACTCCGCTTGCAATTTACAACCCCGGCTAAATAAGAGTCCCGCTGTAACTTGAAATTAGTAGAGAGCTTTAAAATTCGCGCGTTTAAATTGTAACAGAACATTTCTGTAGATATCTATGTATACTAACAGTATAAATTTGTAAGTTTGTATGTAGGGGGTAATCTTTAGAACCGCTGGTCGGATTGCCAAAATTATTTCACTGATAGATAGCTACAATGTTCCTGAGTGCTATAGGCTATAAAATATCACACTAAGATCAAGAGCAGCGGGTGAAACCGCGCGTGAGTAGCTAGTCTTATATATATAAAAATGGATCGCAAAATGTGTTGGTAAGCGCATAACTCAACAACGGCTGGACCAATTTTGCTAATTCTTTTTTGTTGTTTTTGTTATTGTTAGGAGAAGGTTCTTATCAAAGAAAATATTAGAAAAGTAGAGGGGAAGTTTAGGAAAATGTGACCCCTGAAAGTAAAAAGCAAGATAGTTGAACCCGTGCGAAGCGGGGGCGGACCGCTAGTTATTTTTTTTTTTTTTATGTAATAAGTCGGCAAACGAGCAGACGGATTACCTGATGGTAAGCAATCAACGCCGCCCATGGACACCCGCAACGGAGGCGTTACGAGTGCGTTGCCGACCTTTTAGGGATTAGGGATTTGGAGATTTAGGGATTGGGAAGGGAAGGGGAAGGATTGGGCCTCCGTTAACCTCACTCACACGGCGAAACACAACGCTGTGGTTGTTTCACGCCGATTTCTGTGAGGCCGTGGTATCACTCCGGTCGAGCCGACCCATTCGTGCCGAAGCATGGCTCTCCTACAGTTAAAATTATTATTAAAAAAGCAACTAGAGAATGAAGCTGGAAAAAATTTGATTCTGAATTGACCTGAGGGATTTAACAATTTTTCCACCACGATTAGTACCTATTAAAAATAAATAGCTGAATCACTAAAAAAAAAATAGAATATTGGCTTACGAATATGCATTTTGTAATAACTTTATACTACCTACCTACTTACTAAGTTGTCGTTAATTTTTATAGATACGTAAAATGATGAGTAACGATGATTTGTGATTCGAAATATCAATAATATCTATAGCGTAGTCTAGGTTTCTACGTCATAATATATTCGCTAAGTATGTAAGTATGTTACTATGTATGTAGCTATAGCTTTTCAATGATAACGAAGTTTAATAATTTGATGACCATAAATAAAACTGTGATAAGTATTCATGAAAATGCCTAGATTAACCTTTATCAACCCGCAATTTTTTTCCTGCATATTAACTTGTTTATTTTTTAGACAAAAGTTTATAGGGCTTTTTGGGAGTGTTAGAGTATTACTGACTACTGAACCCGGTTCCTTCAATCCTTCTCCTGCTCCAGACCCGAGGCCACCTTGCCTTAGTCCTCTAAACTGAAGCCTTCAAGTCCAAGCTGTTAAATCGGACAAGTATGGGTCTGTGGTGGTCTTTGTGGCCAACTCCTAGTCTGTGACAGCCTTATTGCGCTTGACCCGTAACCACAGATTATTCTAAGGCTTCATATGTAACCGACTTTGCGAGTTCTAAAGAGATATTGAGTGTTTCGAACTATCTATTTTTTTATGTGGTAGGTCGGCAAACGAGCCTTTGCATTACCTAATGATAAGCAATCAGCGCCGCCCATGGACACCAGCTACAACAGAGGAGTTACGACTGTGTTGCCGACTTTTTGGGGATTAGGGATTTGGAGATTTAGGGATTGTGGAAAGGGAAGGATTGAGCCTCCGGTAACCTCACTTACACGGCGAAACACAACGCGGTGGTTTTTTTTCTGTGAGGCCGTGGTATCACTCCGGCCGAGCCGACCCATTAGTGCCGAAGCTTGGCTCTCCCACACTTAAACATATTTCATTCCACCACGCACGTAGGACATCTCTAAATATATTGAATTCAATTAAAATAAACAATTTATTCTCGGTTTCGTTTGCGTAAATTGCAAAGTAAATGTTACGTGGGAACAGAAATAGTTTGGCGGCGCTAAGAAAAAGGGTTTCTAGGTATGTTATGTCTCGGGCAGCAGCTCGTTAACGTGTAAACAGTCCCTCATAAACATTGAGTCGAAAATAATTGTGAATCGATTTAATTCAGATAAGTGGGGCCACTACATCGAATTGCGTTTAAGAGTAATGCCAATCAATCGATTCCATTTGTTTATACTCGGACTCCGGGTACATCACTAGTTTATTTATCGATTCAACAAACAAATTGGTTTTAAGATTTCAAGAAATTTTCTATGAGATGTAATAATTTTCTTTTGTAAGTACTTACTGGTTTGTAGTTGCTAAGCTGTTTTGCTACTGTTAAAAATCTTTATGATCTATGAAAATAACTTTGTTATATTTAGGTCAGTCGATTTCAAACCACCAAAAATCAAAACCATACACAATTCGATTGTTTAGTTGTAAACTCAGGTATTTAGGATTGCCTAAATGACTGAATACGCAATCCCTAGATACCTAACTTTAGTATTTACTAAGTAGTAAGTTTTAGTAAGAATTCCACACATTTCGTGTGATAAAAACATATCTACATGTTTTTACATATGCTGTGGTATTTACAGTGTATTTGGTGTACCTACAAATAATGTTTATATTGAGTTATCTGCACCGAAACTATGTAGCGTCGTGTACACGCGGGTGCATGAAAAATAGTACAGCTAAGAAATATTTTGGCGATTCGTAACAAATAGGTACTTTTGTTTAGTATTGTCGGAATTGGATTTCTATAAGGAATTCCTTACGAACGTGATATGAATATTTTGATTTCGGGAATTTATTGAATTAGTCAACTCTTATTTGAGGTTTATTTGTCAGGTAAACTTGGTATATAAATATTTCCTTAAAGTTTCCCTTATGTAATAGCTTCCGTCCGTGGCTTCGCCTGTGTAGTATGTTGATAAAAGCAGCTTTGTGTGGTATCAACTATCTACATAACAAATTTCAACCAAATCGGGCCAACAGTTTTTGTTTTTAAGAATAACAAACATACATCCATGTCACAAACTTTCACATTTGCAATATTAGTAACATTAGGAGGGCCTACAAATTTTAAATCTAGAAATACCTATGACTTATTCAAACCTCTTCGCATTTCAGGTAACCTAGTAACGACGGTGGCGCTGCTGATGCATCCGAAGTTACGAGGCCATGTGACCACGATGTTCGTCCTCTCACTCTGCGTGTCGGACCTCCTCTTCTGTTCCATCAACCTGCCGCTCACCGCCAACCGATACATCAAGCAGAACTGGAGTCTAGGACCCAGTCTCTGTCAGATGTTCGCCTTCGTCTTCTACGGGAACGAGGCTGTGTCCCTCCTCTCCATGGTCGCTATTACTATAAATAGGTGAGTCTTTCTTAATTATTCCATTGTATTCCATTCCATTATAGTTTAATTTGGTAATGAATTCTCCATAGAACTCCTCAAACGACTTCCAATATAACCATATTTCTGAACTTTGGTGTCTTGTGATTTTTCTGTGGATGTTTACATTGAAATCTCACTTCACGGTTGGCGTGGTGGCTGGGCAACTAGCTGCCGTATAGCGTATCGCGGGTTCGATTCCCGCACGGAACAACACTTTGTGTGATCGACAAATTGTTGTTTCGGGTCTGGGTATGTGTGATGTGTATGTGAAATTGTGTGTTTGTAAACGCACCCACGACACAGGAGAAAATCCTAGTGTGGGGCAACGTTTTTTTATAAAGAAAGAATCTCAAGCCTTTTTTCACCACCTACATCAACATAGTAACAGATAAGCTACACGTACAAAGTTCACATAAAGTTCTATATTCAAATGTATGGTACGTAGCGGCTAATAAGACATTGTGTAACAAGCTCTTGTGATTTTAAATCAGAGATGTAATTAGTGCGAAAAGTGAAATGGATAAGATCTCCTTTATACTTTGAGTGGCATAGATAGCTTTCTTGTTCCGTAGAATAAAGAAAGTTAGCCAAGGTATTATATGATAACGAAGAAAAAATCCTACAAACGATAAGTACCTAGTACATCTCTGTACATTAATGAACACAAGAAAAGATTTATATAGCGCATTCAACAAACGAAAGGCCTGTTCCTACTGATCCGTAGAAATTTTATTACGTGTGAAAACAAGTGAGAGAAATTTAACCAGTGTAAAATGACTTGCGTCTAACGTTTTATTGTTTCACTTGAGTACGTACTTTAGTAGACAGCTACTGATATTTCCCGAAAAGTTTTTCTACGTGGGCATCGTAAAAAATACATTTAGTGGTGGCGTGAAACAGATTATAAATGTCGACGGGTTATTTATCACGCCATCCCACCACTCAGCCGTGTACAGTTGTAAAACAAACCTCTACTGACGCCAAGGAAAAAAATACTCCTCATTCACTCTATTTATAGGAGCCGGCTACAAGTGATAGCCGCTCGATATTGACCTACTGCAGAATTCGTGTGAACTAATAAAATTGTTCTTAAATTCTCCTATTGCTTACATATTGTTTGACTATCCTTGAAGATATTTCTAAAACACTCGATTTCTCATAGTCTATCATTTTATACTGGCATAAAATTAAATTGCATTTTGCTATTGCGAAGAAATGGGAAGATGTACTTATTCCAGCCTTGTCTAGCGATATATACCTAGAACAAACATACAGCTAGCGGTGAACTCAAAACGTCACTCTCGTTTTGATAAAGTATAATTATAATTATTTCTCGGAAATACGACTATAAAACAATACGTCAATTCGATACAGCTTAGGCGCACAATATCCCATTGTAGTTAGTAATTTTGACAGCAATATATTCGGTTCGACGACCCGCCCTCAGATTAAACCATTACCATAATACTGGTGCATTAATATTAATGCGTGGTAACCAATTTAAAGTGTCCTCAAGTGTACGTGCGCGATGCATAGCCGCAGTGTTCACCTTCGCTGCGTCCGACATTAAATTACTTTTTTTTTATTAAGTACCACATTGTAACGCTAAGTAAGCTTTAGTAGATAAATTACAAGCTATGAATGCTTGAACGTGTGCTTAAAAACTTTTTTGTATGTGATGAGTAGGTCGGCAAACTAGCAAACGGATCACACGATGATAAGCAATCAGCGCCGCCTGTGGATATTCGCAACAACGGAGAAGTTACGAGTGCGTTGCCGACGTTTTGGGGTTAGGGATTTAGAGATTTTGGGATCGGGGTAACCTCACTCACACGACGAAACACCAACACTGTGGTTGTTTCATGCCGGTTTTCTGTATCACTCCGGTCGAGCCGACCCATTCATGCTGAACCTTGACTCTCCCACACTTAAAGTTGGACATCATAACAAGGATAATTGTATATTGAAAAACTCAAAAAATTACGTAAAACCCTTAACTTAACTTGGGCAATCAATATTCCGAATGACATTTATATTTTAAGAATTGAAAATAACATTTTCTGTTTTGTTTATCTGTGCAAAATCTACACAAGATACAGTAAATATGATATTGTGTTGATTCCTATCTGTATTGATGCGCTGATGTGATGTCTGGAACTGCATGTTCTGTCACTTGAACATAATGAATTACGAGTATGAGTGTGTAAGAAATAAATATGGATTAAGGATGACGTACTGTAAGGTCCCTTCAGGAAGGAACTTTCAGTATATAAAAATATGTATATTAACGTAGAAAAAAGAACTTTGAGGAATATAAAAGGCTGCTGTATCCCACCGGTAACAGGGGGGATCCAAGCCATCGGCAGCGGTCAGGGCGCTTACACTTCGCGGTCGTGGCCAAAAGCCGCCTTCTGCATCAGGCCCTTGATCTCCAGTCATGTTATCCTACTCAGATGTTGGTCGATGTCTTTACTCATGAAACGATTGAAATTAGTTTCATATTTTAAATATCTTATGTATAGTAGGTACACACGCGCCAAATGAATAATTATTTAATTCTAAAACCTTTTCCGCCGCCATTTTGCTTCTTCATATACTATCGTTTAGAATCTTGTAATTTTCTGAACCCTCTAAACAAACAAAAGCGTCAATTTATTTGGGGACTATTTAACAGTAAATTACGACAAGCGATGCATAATCCCTGCTACGCCAATGGGGCATGAGCAGGGGTGTTAACTTCCTATTAACAATTATATGGGGACGTACAGTTTAATAATACTGGGTGTTAATGTGTTTCATAATAGAAAAAGCAATATTTGAAACTTTATATTACACTTTTATGGGCATTCTATTGTTAAGTTTAGTCCATGGAATTACAGCTTTACTTTTGTGCATCTTGGAAATAAATTCGTATTTTTCTTATTTTTTTTTTTCTTTTTAATTTAGATACTTTTTCGCGAGGTTTAAAGCATTTTATCGATTGCATGTTTCTTTTCATTTGCAAAGAATATTTCAATGTTGGTAAAGAGGTTTTTCTTCGTTTTTTAAAAAGCTTATAGCGAAATTCTTGAGGAAGGTCGCGTATAAACATTAAAGAACACTTGAGAGAAAATATTTAGAAGTGCTTGTAAAACAAATATAAGTTTAGCCTAACCTTCCACCCAAACGAAAAACAAACAAAATTCAACGCCAATATTATTATTATTATAAATAAAACGTATCAGACAAATGAAATAAAATAATAATTGTAAGTAATGTTTGCTCCTATCGTTACTCGCGAGTGGGTCTCGATTATACAGGTCGTTACCAAAATATGTTTGATGTTCTTTTCTTGTAATAAATAGTTTTATGAGCAATAAAACTTATACGTGACGCCACGGCAAGGTTCCTCGTGAATCAGCCACGATTACAACTCGCTACGGCAAATAATATAGTCATCGTCTTATATTAAATCTTTTAATATCTTTAGTATATGTGGCAAAGATATTAATAGTATTTTTTCTGGTTAAAGATGAACAAATGTATCGACTACGTTGTATCGGTGGTACTGTAGATCCTGGCTTATAGAAGTTACTCGAATTTACCTGGATAAGTCCTAACTTCATCATCACCCGGAAGATAGAATAGAAGACCTTCGTCTTCCATGTCGAACGAGATCTCGCCTCTAGCATCCTAATGGATGCTCCTGTGGAGTAGTGGAGATAATGCTCCACGCGACTCTGACGTGTATATGTCATCCAACAAACACACTTCGATAACAAACTGATGGAAAACTAAGACAGCATTAATAGTAAAATATTCAACATAAAATAGTCCTTACAAAAGAGAAATGTTGCGTTTAATTATAACAAACGATTATAAAATATTTTAACCATTGATGCGTTGAAATTAAAATAGTTGAGATGAGACGGAATGTAATAGAAACTTGAGATAACTTATAATTAAGTGAGCTGAGCTGTTCAGCTGTTTAGTGATTAGTAAAACTCTGTGTTTAGCTTGCTAGCTACCACGGCTAGCTGCTGATACATCATTCATGGGAATTTCAGTGAAGATAGGATACTTATTAGCAGCTTTCTTACTCTCGTAATGTGAGCTCAGGGGTGAAAAATAGCCTTTTGAAATAGTGAGAACCTCCTTCATTCCGACATTGTCTATACTATATACTATAATATTATAAAGAGGTAAAATTTGTAAGTTTGTATGTAGGGGGTAATCTTTGGAACTGCGGGTCGGATTTCTAAAATTCTTTCACAGATAGTTCCTGTATACTATAGGCTATAAAACATCACGCTACGACTTAATTGAGCCGAGTAGCTTGTCATAAATAAATATCTTTTATAATAGTACTTAGGTACATAAACAGTTACGATTGCAGACACTGAAGACCGGTTGTCAGTTGCAAATCTTGAGTTTAATTTGGACACAATTTTTATTTTTTAAATCGTTTCATTTTCAGGCGTAAAAGACAGTGACATTGTGTTATTTTTGGCTAAGTATTTTGTTCCGTTCAGACTTAGTTCAGACTTACTGACTAAATACCATATGGTTCCTTCACCAGCACCGAGGCGGGTCACGTTACAATATCGCGCTTACCCTGATTGTAACCTTGACTGGGCATCAGCCCTAGTGCCATATTGCCTTCTGCGGTATTCTGGCGGCTCCTTAAGGATGACATGGTACGCGGTGTAAGTCTAACCGGGCGGCAAGGCATCCTTGTTCGCCGTCCACAGACCCGCAATATTTTAATGCCTGAGATTAAGATTAGCGAACGCCATTTATTTAGCCTGCCCGATTCCGACGTTAATCGAAACGTGATTAATATTATTGTGTATTATAATAATTATTAAAATGTTTGTAACGTTTGCGTTGGTGGTAGGTAGTTTAATAAAAGAATATTTTTGGCAGTTACGGTTTATTAGGTAGGTAGGTAGTGTCGGTTAAGCCGGGGTGAGTTCGAATATCGAGCGCGTAACGAATTT